AACAAAATGCAAAATAAATTGCAGTGCATAAACCAAGCTCCCTGAAAGACACTATTTGAGAGAACATCACCCTTCTAGGCTGATCGTGAGATAACCGGAATCAAAAGATCCATTTGATTAAATTTTATCAGTCTCAAGAAAGCTAGTTTACAAATATCTACCATTCAGAAGTGTAGAGATATGGGTTCTTATTGAGCTTTTACCGAGTGCAGCACTCAAAAGAACAGACGGTGATTTCCAGTTTGCCCAAAAAGCACACGCTTCCAACCTCACTCATGAAACATGTGTTTCCTACCACCAAATATCCGTTTGATCTGTACGTGAAGAACACTGACAGAACATGGATTAATGAGGCCGTTCACTAATGGCTTCAAATTTACGAAACTGGAACAATCAAACGGCCGCCAGTGGCAGGTGATCAAATAGCGACCCCGTACCTGCCTTTAGCAGCATTTCACGCAGTCAATCCTGTTCATTCTGAGAAGTCGAAACAAATGAATTTCTGTTTACTAACTCTTTCTTTGCTTTAGGCTTCGTAACCCAAAAAATGTGCACGTGTGTTGACGTTTAATTTTATCTAACCTTCGAAGAGTAGACCACATATATCTGTTTGACCTCCACATCGTGTCATTTAATTCGCATACCCATTATTATGCTGCGATTTTCCACTGTGTGTATCAACATCAACATATTCTTCGTCATTATCAGATGTGATAACCGCGTACTTGTCGTACAGCGGTTGTAGCTGCTACAGTTTCATCCACAGATGATTCGGGAGGTGGGGTAGGTAGCTGCGCTTTGAAGGCGGGAGCTGATAAATCAGTATGTAATTACAGCACTGTAGGTGGACTGTTAAGTAGGGGAGTGGGAAGGTGTTGTATCGTGGGTGGCGATCTGTTGGTTACGCCTGCACTGAGCCTGCCAGACTACGCGATAGGGAGAAGAGAGAGAACTGGGGACACGGCTCTATTGCCAGGACAAAACACAGAGCGTTTGCGTAAATATATAGGATGACTAATTGGAATATAGTCGTTCACTCGTTCATTCTGTACAGCCAATGGTGGTGTTCCAGTCGTGAACAGGTCGTATGTTGCTGAGCCGTGCTTGGTGAGCTCCGCCAACGCACCTGACTTCTGGACGTGCCGTACGGATGGTGATCTTGGGGATGTGTCACGCTCTGCGCATGTACTTTTTCCATGTCTGGGTGAGTCCTGACAGAAGGGAACTATGCATTGAAGGCAATAGCTTGGATACACGAGCGTCATTGAAGGCGCGACTGGCACATGTAAGACAATGCCTCTAACCATTGATATGGTCTGTCTCGCGGTTTCCATCCGGAAAGACGGCAATGACCAGCGTAGCTGAGTTTGCGGGTAATGGCTTTCACAATTCGCTGCCAAGCCATTGTTTGACAACCTCTGGCTCTCTTCCACCCCCCACGTGGTCGTGCGAAAAGAGCCCTTCGAGGAAGTCGGTCGACTGGCATACGCAACACGTGGCCAAGCCAGCGCAACCTATGCAGTGTGATCACTTCTTCTATCAAGGGTGAGTTATTTCTCCCGAATACCGTTCGACGAACTTCAGCATTGCTGATCCGTCCATCGAAACTCAAGTGTGCTTTGGTCGCATGACCTTACAAGAGCAAAATAAGTCATCCCTTCTGAGACGGGGGCAGCAGACTTTGAGTTTCATAGGCGAGATGCTGTCACGTCGCCTGTCCATTCGCTTGTAGATGAAACCAATTATTCTGACCCCGTCCACGAAGGGGCACTCGGTTAGTTTAGCAAACCAGTCAAAATTTGGAGTCCGCATTAAGGCGTTTAAGTGTTGGTAACGTTATCAAAATATACAGAATAGTGCATCGATCCACAGCTTGACGAACGTGCATAAATGAGCGACATGCATGCGCGTATCCATTCGTGAGGGCACTAGTGACACTGACTCTAATAACACCCCCGTTAACAGAGACGACCTCATGCATGCTGTCAGAGATACAGATCAAGTCAACACCACAGGGAACATTTTGACCACCAGAATTAAAGCTAGTCCCTCCTACTGTCCGTAAATCCGATTCGCTGTCTTATGCCGTTTTCAGGCATCCACTGAGAGGTCACCGTGCTCAAGTATTATGCGCTAAAGTAATCAGCAATTCGAGGCAAAAAATAAACTAACGAGCGGTCTGAAAATAAATAATTTCGTGGTCAGAGATGCTCTGGACAGGATTAGGTCTTATTCAACTCTACATTTTCCTGTAGTGTCAGATTATATAAATTGTGAGCAAGAGTATTATTGTGGTTGGCGAACCCTGAAAATGTCAATCTGCAGTGCGCAAATGATGTCGCCCTTAGCTTTGAAGCTGAAGGCATATTATAGGCCCTGTTGAATAGATTGACTACCCTCATTTCATATTTCGGCATGTGCCTAGCACCTTCAGAACGTGCACAATCTGAAGATAACTTTTACCATTCAGAGAATCCTTCGAATTTGTGGAGAACTCCACATACCTCGGTAGTTGAATTAGCCCTGACGAAAGTGTATCTGATGAAGTTAGTAAACAAATCTCAAAGGCCAGAATCACATTTGCTAGTGTGCGTCAACTGTGGCTTTAAAGGCGCATATGACTGGGTCTCAAGGGTCACGTGCACTAGGCCACAGTAAGGACTGTATTGTCGTATGGCTGTGAAATATGGCTTCTGGGGGACAGACGGTGTCAAATGTCTTGAGGTCTTTGACCATCGACGCCCCAGATGCATCTCTGGTGTCATACGTCGTCAACGAATCCGCAACGAGGTAATTTGAAATCGGGTGTTTGGTTGTGCCGCAGGCACTTCAGTTACGGAGACCATCCAGCATCACCAAGTACGGTGACCCAGTCATGTGCTACGACTACCGTAACACTGCCTACCGAGACGCGTATTGTTCTCCGTGCCTCCTTTAGGACGGCAAAAACCGTGAGGTCGATAAAGTATGTCTTAGCAGGAAGGTATGGAAGAAACTGGTGAGTTTATGTTGTTGGTGCGCTGTCTTCCAGGATGGGGTACCCCAGGGGCTCCCGCTGCGCCTGGTTGGAGGTATTGCAAGAAATGGCGGCTGATGGACGTCAGTGGCTTTAGTGTTCAGCTTGTCTGGCTGATCGCTTGCAGATCTAGGCACCTCAGAGTAACCATGTGTCCGCACTAGGTACCCTCCTTCGTCCACTGTTTTCCCTCCAAGGCTTTCAAAAAAATAGATAAACTTCGGGATTGTACGGCAGCGAAGCCTCACGTCAACATCATCATCATCAAAGACAGCAACATCAGTGTTGCCACTGATGCTTCACTGCCGTACAACCATAAGGTNATACACATATAAATAATTGTATTATAAGCCCTACAGTGAAGAGAAGAGAAAAAGAGTGGGTGAGGGAGGGGACCTAGTGCTGGTGTATGTCAAGCATACTGCCTACACCTCCAACCGCTCAATCAGACTTACGGCACGAACGCCACTGACATTGAGTAGCCGCTATTTCTTGCAACGTCCTCAGCCAAGCATAGACGGGGTCACGTGGACCCCAACACCAACAACACCCTTCTCTTCTTTTCGTGATCTCTTTCACGCCTTTCTTCCAAGTCATGTGCCGTCCACTTCGCGGTTTGCGCCATCCTGAAGGAGGCACGGAGAACAACATTCGTCTTGGTACACGGTGTTCCGGTATGCGTATCACACGGCCGAGCCATCGTAGTCGATGATGCTGGATGTTTTCCCGGATCGAGGTGCCTGCAGAACAGCCAAATACCCGTTTTCTAATCACCTCGTTACTAACACACTGACGCCATCTGAAACCAGCCACGCTACTGAGGCATCGGTGGTCGAAAACTTGAAGACGCCTCACATCATCTGTCCGCAGAGGCCATGTCTCGCACGTCACATCAACGCTGATGTTGCTACCTTTGATGACGAATGTTCAACAATCAGGTATTTTTGGCGATAACCAAGTTGTTGAAATTCCTGTCAGAACAGTTTACCATCACCCTTTGATGAGTTGACGTTGAACGTGTTCAACGAGGTGGTGGCTACATGGACATTATTTTTGGGCTGAAAACAAGTTTCCACTACTCACCATGTCAAAGGTCTCTTATTAACGTTACTTACCACAAGAGCCGCGTAAAAGCACTCTGTCCTGAGTTGATGCTAGCGAAAGAGACAACCGTTTAGCACCTGTATGTGAAACGATACAGGTGTATTTTCGGCGCAATCAATCTTTGTGTGCTCTCTGTGGGACTGTAATGTGGCTCTCTCCCGAACAAGCACCTTCAAGAGCGTTCCGTCTACGATAGCAACTGTATAAGTGGCATTTAGGCTGAACAAATGGTACGTACGAAAGTAGTTACCTGCAGAACAAGTCTCCTCTCTGATACGACAGGAGACGTACCCTGACCCATCTGTAAGCATTCTGCCACTTCCTGGGCGGACTGTCTGGTGGAATGTATACCGAGCCTTGTACTGAGGTTCATGAAAATGCTGGACCAGCGGAAATAAAAACGCGGTTGCTTCGCTGGTAGAAGCTTGCCTCAAACAATTATGAGATATCACGCGTTTTCGGTACTTTGGAAATCACGAAGTTGCCAAGAGGGCAGCATAGGCTGAACTGTGATCGAAAGTTAGTAGATTCTTCGCTACTCACAAAGTATGAGTAACCTCGGAGAAATGAGCTGCCGACCACCACTCGTGACCAAGCTAATCGGATCATCAGCGATTGAGGTTGCTTGTAATGGATTGCGTAGTAAGCTTTGGTATGTTTCTCTAATTTGTGCCTGTAGCATTTCTACTACTAAAAGTGGAGCACCTCTCTGGGATTACCTGGAAAAATTAGTGAAAAACTGCATCGAACAATGGCGTGATTTGAAAACCAAAACCATCGGCAATCAAGCCTGAAAGTTTTGCTTGGCAGCAGTATCACCGCTCCGTGAAAACCACACCCAGCTGTCAGTTTTAACACCACCAAAAGACGCAAATTTTCGTTTCTCTCTTCGTTTATTTTGGGTTATGTACACAAGGGAAACGGATGAGAGGAAGTGTCGTAAACAGGGTGAATTATTCAAATGTACGTATCATCAAACATCGTTGTAATCATCACGCATAGAATTGTATTCCTCGATACGTTGACGAATTTTTGACCGAGGCGCCCAAGTAATATAGTCTTCCATCGCCCTGATAGAAATAAGGTGAAATGAAATTGTCCCACCAGTAGTTCCCAATCGGTAAAGGACTAAGTTAGGACTAACTCGGCTCAAAAATTGATAAAAATAAGCCTTAGTTTCAGGTACTCAGCTGTAACTGTCAGTTGTATTAAACCGTCTCTCGGGACTGCTGTTTCGTCTATGTATGAGCTCAAGTTGTGCCTTTTCAAACTGAAACAAAAGGAGACCACGACAACTGGGTCGTTCTCCTAAAGCAATAGGCGGGCGTTTTTATGAATCCCACAGAAATGATCTTCAAACGCACTAAAATGGCACCGATATCATAAAACTTATGGATTGCACGGAAACTTCGTTGTATAATTTGCGAAACCAAGTGGAAAAAATCAAGTTTTAAAGTGCTGTAATGCTTGGATATACAAAATATTTAAACAACATTCGAGACAGAAGACCGGAATATTCCATAAATCCTAGCTACAGTGAGACACGAGGGTAACCAGTAGCTTGTGCATTGGAGAAATAGATGAATCCAGTGCAAACTTCACTCAGGCAGCTTATACTAGGGTAAAAAACGAGAATTCATGAAACTCAATAATCTGAAAAACGAAGGCTGCGAGAACAAACGTAACGGCTAAACTGATCCTGAAGGAATACACGCTTACTTGTTTCATGTGGCAACTGACGGATACGGGGAATCATAAAAGCTTGGGTGGTAACCGAAAAGGACGAATGTGCCAGCGATCAGTTCATCAGAAAACAGTGATATGAAATCTCCAGCCTTCGAAACCCCTCAGTCACATTGCTCTGATGATGAACTAATGCAGACGTTAGCGTTACAATTGACTTAGTTTCGCTTCCATATCGCGTTACCTGATTTTTTCAAAGGTCTGTTAGTTCAAATGCAGACTAGAGGTGAACAGTTATCTCCCTGGGAGTAGCCAGCCTCCGGGGAGACCGTGCTTCAGAAGAGGTCACTTTTAGTTGGTCACTTGAAGTGTATACCATCAGTTTCTTGAACAGCAGAACAGCAATCAGAGGCTAGCCATTTCTTTTAGGTTGCCATTCAGAAACAACTTCGATTGAAGACAGAAGGGCGTGCAGCTAACTGAAGTCTGTAGTAAAGTGGAATAAGTGGATATTGATGGATATCTGAGTCAAGACGAAGTTGCGTAGGGGAGCAGTTAATGCAGTTGAGTAGCTGACGCATCATCTTTAGTGATAGATCTACCAAACCGTCTAGGGACTGATGGGAACCGAGGAGACGTCACATTTGATTTAACTGCAGACAACACGGTATTACTGTGACGATTGAGCACAACAGTTCCTACTAGAGTCGTACCGTTTGTGCTGAGCACGAATAATTGGAATGGATGTGAATAGAAAGATACTGTTTGGAGGGAAAGCTTATGTGGAATCAATATTTGCAACGTATACTAACCGGGTAACCAAAAATGACGGATCTCGCACAATATCCGGACCAACACGAACATGCCCCTGTTCAACAAATGTGACGGCTGCTTTCATGGTCTCTGCCATATGTGAACGCATCAGTATGACAGGTAGACGTCGTCTGCAGAATGACGATGCGTTTACTTTGGAGACAAGCATAAGACTTCGTTTTGTTGGAATCAATCCTAAGTTGTGTCTATGGTCAGAACTATTAAGTATATGGACGGACAACCTACAGTTTGGCCGCCAGAAGTTGCGTCATTTCTGCCCTCCACTGGTCGGTTTCATCCATATCTTTCAGTTTGTTTGCCAGATCCCGGATTTGTCGAGACAGCTTATTGTACCTGCAAGGTGTAATCAAGTGTCAAAAAACGAGATACAGTCAACCTTAAGTTGTTTAAACACATAGATAAACGGATAACCCTGGTTTTGTCTGTTCAGAACAAAATCGCCATTCACATAAGAAAGACGTAATGAGGCCCATGCAACTGTACAAATAAAAAAATGAACACCAGTATCTTGGATTACTAACGCTAGCTATATCCTTGGTTCCTGTTGTGTTTTGCTGAACGGTAGTGCAACTCTGTATCGGTCCCTTGGCCTCCTGCTCCGCCCACATCGCAACTCTACATAGCCCTTTATGGAGACAAAGGAAGATTATTACAACTGTATTTATAGGGTAGTCGACTCGCATTGGCTGGCATTCTGACCGATCAGGGCATGCCTTCGTTTGGTCCGTGTCCTGCACATGACACATCCGTCAAATGATGTGATGTTCGGTTATTAGGGACGGGTGGCCTCCGGACAGTTTCTGAAGTTGTTTTTCATTCAAAACCGAGCGATCAAGCCCAATGACAGTTACGTATTAGGTAGACTGAAGAGTCATGGTCTACAGGTGATCGAGCTGATGACAGCGAGTAACTGAAAATAGATTGAAGATAACTTTTGCGACAAGAGAATCAGTCGTTTTTCGGTCATACACATGAATAATTCAGCTATTAGAACACAACTTCCTATCGCACTTTCCTCTATTGGTCCAAACTGATGCATTCCTCACAGGCCTCAATTAATAAATTTCAGGTAAATCATTACATCCCATTGCAAAGTTTCTCAGAAGCAAACAATAGTCTTGAATTAAGGACTGTTGTCAATCAGAGAAACGGTACGAAATCAGTTTGTTTAAACGGTAGCGCAATGCTATCGAAAGTATTTTTAGGTTAGAATTACATGCACAAAGCCCCCAGTATCCTTTCTACTTTACAAGATCTACAAAAGATTGGTGGCACTGGTGAATGACGTCGCTGCACCAGAGCTACTGTTTTCGAGGTGTATCTGACCCAGTCCTCACTTTATCCGAAAAGCGGAATAGTATACTATTAACAAGCTACTTAGTCAATCACATTCGATTCTATGCATCACCGATGAACGAAACTGTAGGGCTCGAAAGCAAGGTATCTTTGATAGAAGATTTATTCATATTCGGGAACAAAAACCGTTGAGTCGCATTTTTAAATGTACTATGATAGACTGTAAACTGATCTGAAGCTCAGCACAGAGTAGCAACGTCCAGTTGACAGAGCACGATCTACAATAGCCGAAACATCCGCTAAATACACTTACAGAGTGTAGTCTTCTCGACGTTGAATGTGGAAACGCTTCATTATTTTGACTTCATGTAAGTTGTTGTCGCATTCCCAGTTGATGAAATCAAACTTTTTCAATAACTTCTTCTCATGAAACTTTAACTTTCGAACCATTCTTAGCAGATACAGCAGCCGATTCAAAAATCAGCAACTTCCTGCGAAAGAAAACTAAACAGCGCAATCATTTCAATCATGAATGAAAATAAAAGAACTGCTCGACTGTAACACCCCTTCAGTGCATAGCTGCTATACAACCCGAAGGAAGCACAAGGGTTCAGGTAATGCCAGATTGTCCAAACCTAGACAACAGCAGTCGATAAGCCGCCTGTCTAGGCTTGGCTGTCCTGACAGCATACCAACTAGCGTATAATCACGAAACTCACAACAAAAATACTATCATGCAACAACGGCCGCTTCGTGTTGCCATCAGGTTGGTCACTTTAATTGTTGCATGCAGAAGGGTGGGTGAACAAAAACAGACTAGTGCTGAAGCCCCGTCTCGTAAACTTTCAAGTATTTCCTCTTCACCCTAACCAAGTTGAATACTCCATTCACAGGTTGCAGCAATAAGACTGACAGCTTTGTTTGCCTTGTATCACGCTCAGTTGCAGCTTCCATACATCCGTCCTCATGGACAACCCTAAACAGCTCGATTTTAGTCTTCGAATCCCGAAAGCGGTCTGCTTAGTTGCCTCTAGTGTTCGCACACAGAGGCAAACAGAGCAACAAGCAACTCTTGATCGTACACTGAATGACCACTGCATTCACGATTGCTGACAGAAAAAAAACCCCAGGACGTACTACAATTGGAGCATACTAGAACCCTGCAACCTTGACCTAAGAAGCTTATGACTAGATGCCTCCCTTTAAGGATTATTGAGCTCTTCGTTCAGATAACCTTCCACTTGCACTATTCATGGATGAAAATGAGATCGTCACTCAGCGTTTCATTTAGTCAACTCTATTTGGAAGAAAACTTTCCTAGATAACTGGATGAAACCTGACGTAGTGACGGTCTCAAAATGGGGTCTGTAGTGGAAGTACCGACCACATTAGGCCGTGACTCTACTTAAACCGAGCCACTGAGCGTCATTTATCTTTTTTCACTTTATGATGGCTCGTGAAGCATGGACTCTGTTGTATCTGACTGATGACCCCACTCCAGTGCCTAGTGTCGGAAGACTTACAGAAGGGAACACGATCCAATCCAAACAAGCGAGTGTGAGAACGTGAGTGCGTGCGAGTGTGGAAATACAACGGCCTCAACCTATTTATTGGATGGGCACTGTCTGAACTTAGTCCAACGCGATGCACATTACCTGGCTTGGGTACGAGGCTGTGACGCGCTGCATTTTGAGACGCTTGCCCACCAAGGAATGGCCCAGAAATTTGTAAACATAATACGTTCTTTGTATCCTCATTCTTCCGAACGTGTGAGAGTGTACGGAGAGCTCTCCAAAAGCTTCCGTACACAAAGCGGTGTCCGTCAGGAATACCCACTCTCCCCATTCCTTTTTAACTTCATGATCGATGAAATAATGAGGCGAACGCTGGAGGGTCTCCAAAACCCTGGTGTTCAAATAGCCTGTGAAGAAAACCGTGTCGATCTGGAATGTGCAGACGACATCGTTCTCATGTTCGAAGAGGCGGAGAAGGCGCAAGTATTTTTGGATGAACTGACCAAAGTCATCCCGTCCTTTGCACTTACATAGTGTAAGGTTATGCTTGCGGACGTGCAGTCACTGAACACACCACTTACAATCCAGGGCGAGGTACTGGAAGTTGTGGAGCGTTTTACGTATCTTGGAAGTTGTATTAGTTCTGATTGTAGTGTGACAGATGAGGTGAATGCACGAATCTGCAAGGCTCGGGCCGCGTTTGCTAACTTGAGACACCTATGGCGTCAGAATGGTTTATCCCTGAATCTGAAGGGACGTGTTTATCAAGCTACAGTACGGGCTGTCTTGTTGTATGGCTGCGAGACCTGGCCTATTCGAGCAGCGGAACTGAGACCTCTTCAGGTATTCAACAATCGTTGTCTCAGAACCGTTGCTCGCGTGGGTTGGTGTCGGCGAATCCGTAACGAGGCAGTTAGAAAGCGCGTTTTCGGTTGTGCAACGGGTACTGCCATTGAAGAATATGTCCAGCACCAGGAACTGCGTTGGTTGGGACATGTGTTGCGCATGCCAAACCATCGTTTGCCGACGAGAGTGCTGTTTTCTATACCCTATTCAGGATGGCGTAAACAGAGGTGGCCAACCCTTGACTTGGCAGAGGAGTATGAAGGAGATCACCAAACGCTTGGGTGTTGTCAGTGCTACTCGACTTCCAGGATGGAGACCGCGTGATCCTCACTGCGCCTGGTTGGAGATACTAACTACAAGATATGGCGGCCAACCAATGTCAGTGGCGTTTTTGTCGTCAGTTTCTATCCAGATCGCCTGAGTGAGTGTCTGGGGGTATAGACACCTCGGAATAATTATGTTAAGCTAGCACCAAGTCCCATCCCCGTCCACCCTTACTCTTTTCTTCACAATAAGGCTTTCAAATAAATCACGGTTGTACGGCAGTGAAGCATCGGTGTTAAACACTGATGTCATGCCGTCGATGATGATGATGATGCATTTTGAGGGGGTTGTCCGACGTTTATTCAATGCTGACGCACGCTGCCTGACTTTGTACGAGACTGTGACGCGCTGTATATTGTGACGGTGTTGTCCGTCTGGTCAGTGTGTAGCGGAGCTGTAGCAGAGCATTCGGTGGTCGCTTTCAGGAATCAGACCTTCCTGACAGACTGACTCAGCTAGCAAGAGACTGACACGGTAGAGGTCGAGCTGACCGGGTCTAGGACAAAACCGTGCGTACAGACGAGCCAAGGGTTTGATACTCCTACGTTTGCAACGTACATTCAACTCTGTTGATCAGTCTCTTCAGTCTAACACAATTTGTCAATAAACAGTGTCCTGGAATTCTGAGTGCCGAGAAGCGGTTTGTATTTTCAGATTTGTGGGTGCCAAAGAGTGTGCAGGGAGCTCTCCAGAAGTCTTCCTACAAAAAGTAGTGTCCCACAAGGACGCTCAGAAACAATGGGACGAAGTTGCACACTTACTTTCGAACCACTGCCTGCTGAGGGATAACTTGGATTTAGGAACATCTAGGATACACATTGCTCGGGCACGGCGACCACCCGCCAATTCTTCAAAATGTCGGCTTTAGTGACTTAGAGGCAGAGCTGCTCCATGTCGCCCTTGACCGTTTTCAGTGGTCCTCAGTGGCGATACACCACCCTTGATATGTTACAGTTCAGGATTTATTTGGTAATATCCGTGTCACTGCAGCACAATAGATGCATGGCAGATAATTACGTTGCTAGATACCAGTATTAGACGCTTCCAGATAACGAAATATCACTATCAAGTTGGGGACGTCACTCATCGATTGTTGTGGTCATTAACGGCAATATACCAGTGACAACATCGATTACCTGCCATACAACCATGAGAGAGATTGCCTTGGTAAAGATTGGAAATAAAAGGGAAACGATGAGGAGTAAGGGTAATACGCCTTGAAACAGCATCGAAATAAGCACACCTGAGCGCCATGCTGGATTAGAGTTATCAGAGGGATTGACCCAGTATCCTTTGTGAACCTCAGCCGACGTGAGAGCAGCTCATAAAGACAGGCGAACCTTAGCTAGACAGTCCAGCTAGGAAATGGCAGTATGTGCAACAGTGGAGTCGGTTGTATACCGTGTTCCGCAGGCCTTTTAGCCACGTGCAAGCAGGGTCACATGAACCCCAGACAGCGAGAACCAACAGCGCTCAGTTTGATTGTATCCGGTTTAATTTCACGTTGCCACGCCACGTTCTATCTCCCAAGAACCTTTCGCCAACAACGGTTTTGGACAGGAGGGACCTTTTAGAAGCGAGTAATACACGTCCCAACCACCTCAACCTGGGGGCGAGATGGACCATGTGGTTAGAGCGCGAATTTACTGACCGGAAGGTCCGTCGTTCCAACCCGACCTCTGCCACTGGATTTCCTCTGTCTAGGCTTGGGCAACCTAGCCGGCCCTCGTGTTCCTTTGGGTGGCATGGCAAGGGTGCGTGCTACAGCTGGACGATTTTTTCACCTCAGCCTGGTGAGTTTAGTCTGCCGTTTTGACGATTTGTCATCAAGTGCCCACTCACGCACCACCTCGCTGCGTGCTCACTGTAGTCACCTAATTCTTGCTATGCTATGCAGACATCAGTGACCTAAACTTTGAAGACGCCAAAGTAAGATAGCACTTACAAATGACTTATCCTTTGGCTTCAACGAAATCAGTTTGTTACACCAGGACTGACGCGAGTTGGTGAACACTAATCGCGCTCTATTTATCCACAGTGACTTCACCTGTTACATCACGGCTGCGGTTAATGCAACTGCCAGAATATTAGGACGGCTGGGTCCTCAAAAACAATTCGATCTTTCGCAACATGACAGTAATATTGCATTTGCTCTGTTGCAGCCATTTGGGTCGCAGCACTCGTTCTGCCATTGGTTCGTCCGCAACATGACACATCTTCGTCCGGTCTCTTTGCCTCTTTCCCTGAGATTTCACACCAAATTACTTAGGCTGTAGTGTTCGACCGACCTCCAAAACCAACTTTTATAACAAATCAACAAATTCCAGCTCCTCCTCAAAACAGCATAAGACGGAGGAAAATCTTGAACTGATAATTTACACTTCTAAGGCGTATAAAGCATGTTGAAACGGGGCATTCTTTTTAAAGTGATTTGCGCGGCCAAATAGTCAAGCCGAAAGATGTCGCTCGCCCAATCTAAGTCCATCAACCTATCGCCGAACGTGATTTCGATACCTTAGATGCATTATTCTATGATAAGGCCGATGATAAAATCGGACAAATTAAAGAAGACGATCCTGACTTACTGTACTAGTTATCAGGGCGTTTATGGAGGCCTTCGTGGATCCTAACCTGACCACATATATAGTTACACGGTAAGAAGAATGCTCACGACCTTAAAGAGCACCTTTTTACGGTTCAGAGTATTCAAAGGAGCTGACCTATCCACAGTCGATTGGCTCTAAAATCGAGAAGGATGAATGTTGCTCGGCATTACGAATGGCGCCACTCGGGCATCGGAACCTTGTAGGGATATGGTAAATGCACCACTAATCTTATCGAAATTGTGCCTGACGCTCTCAGGCTTGCGTCTCACGTGCTGTTCGGAGGCCAACCGTTCCTAATAACCGTACATCATTTGGACGGGACGGATGTCACGTGCAGGACACGGGCCAAACGAGGTCATGCCCTGATTGGTCGGAATGCCAGCCAATGCGGGTCAAGCACCTGTGACTCGACGCTTCTCGCCCCCTCACAGAGATTCTGGCGTGAGCTTGTGGAACATTCTGTGACTGCCCTATAAGTACAGTTGTAATAATTTTCCCTTGTCTCCATAAAGAGCTGTGTAGAGCTACCTCGCCTTTTGCTATATCATAGTGGGCGGAGCAGGAAGCCAAGTGACCGATACAGAGTTGCGACACCGTCCACCAAGTTACAACACGTGCCTAATATGGACAGCACAATGCAAGGAAAGTTAATCTGGTCCAGCAATTCGATGGCGTTTCATGACAGAAAGGCACAGTAGAACTTCAGGAACAGACGAGAGAACCAAACACATGTCACGGCTCAAAATGAGCGAATTGACTGGAACGACCTGTGTTCACTATGAAACAGACTATTCCATTTTGTGTGGTCAAGAATCTCCAACCACACTAGTCTCATTTGTTAGTTGGTTCTACCACACCTGTTGGTCCACAAACAGCTTATGCTTGAGCAGTCGTCTAGCCGAATTGCATTCCAAACCAGAGAGGATAGAACGCTCCGAATCGAGGAGGGATAGTGACCATTCTGAGAGCATCTGGCTACCATGCACGCGTTAGGAAGCACCACAAAAAAGTTCCCAGCGTCATGCATAGCATTGGTTATTTCGGACAATGTTCTCTGTTGAGGTTGCTTGTAATGGATTGCGTAGTAAGCTTTGGTATGTTTCTCTAATTTGTGCTTGTAGCATTTCCACTACTAAAAGAGGAGCACATTTCTGGGATTGCCTGGG